GGGAACCTGGGGTCTTTCTACATCTAGACCCTAGTTCCATTCCCTCCTGTGGTCACTTGGTGACAGGCAGGCCATGGGGCCCTAACTTGGCATTCTCACTTCTTTGGATAAAAGCACACTCTTGAAAACGATCTTTTGGGATTTTGTTGTTGCTGCTGTGGCCCTTTTCCCCTTTCTTTTCCTTTTTCTTTCTTTCTTTTTTTAAATTTTTTTTTGAGACAGTGCCCCACGGATCCCAGTCTATTCTTCAACTTATTGTGTGGCTGAGGATAACCTTGAACTTCTGACCCCTCCCCCACCCCCTAACTTTACCACTGCTCCAGTGTATACAGGGTGCTGTGGCTCAGACGCAGGGTTTCCAGCATGCTAGGCATGCACTCTAACAGCTGAGCTACATTCCCAGCCCTAGAAAAGTCTTCTGGGTGCACCACAGGACCCTGGCCCCTCACAGGGTCATCTGCATAGATGGCAGTGGCCTTCAGCACAGGCACACACTGATTTTCCCAAGTAACCCTCTCCCCTCCCCCCCCCTTTTGTTTTGTAGATGTCTTTAAAGGGATACCGAAAAGCCTGGAATAAAATGAAAACGTCGGATGAGCAGCTACAGACGGTCGGGTCCCTGGGGAAATAGCCAGGAGCAGCCCATATCTTGCAGACCAAGAAGTGACCCATTAAAGTCCTCTAGTGTTTTCCAGCAGTGGGGTTCTTTCACTGTTTGCTGTGCCCAGCTAGTATAACGCCCCGCCCCCACCCCCAGGCCACATCTACCAGGTCACCAGCAGGGCCACATCTGCCCCTGGGGGTACCGCCCCAGCCTGGCCCCTGGGACCATCGCCCTGAAAGAACCACAGGGCACTCCAATGGTTTGACACTTGTTAGCCCACATTTATCACAAGCATAAATGAAGTGACCTGCCCACACATGGGAGTGGGACAGAGGAGGGAGAGCCAGCCCCGCGCTGCTGTGGGCCTGCCCGCGGCCGCCCAGGTGGCACCTCTCAAAACAGAACAGACACCGGAACAGTACGGCAGATGCCTAGCACCTTGCGCTCTGAGCTTCTTGTCTGTGGGGTAGGTTAGCTGCCAGCTAGACACCGCTGCCCAAGAACACTAGCACGAGGGACATCAAGATCCTTCCCTGGGGCCAGCGCAGCCTGTTCTGGCCGGCCATGGCCCCGCCTTCCCCCACCTCCCCACCATAGTAGTCGTAGTACATGGGTTGAACAGCCACCTTCGAAGGCCAGCTTGATTCCTGAAGACCGTTTACCCTGAAGTTCTGCCTGCCGTCTGTGGGCTGGTCGAACAGCGTGGACATTTTTTGGCCCTGGGAGTAGGATCGGGGCCGCTCAGCATGGCCTTGCACAGAACTCGAATTCTTTGTCAGGGCAGTATTTGATTCTTGAAAGGGGGCCTCGGGGATCAGCTTCTCCCAGGGGTTCAGCACAGACAGGGGAGGGCCAGCCTTATTCGCCTTGGCTATGATCCAGTCGCTGTAGTCTCCCACACTGGCATACAGAAACAGGCCAGGGCACAAGTCGCCTCCACGGGTCACGATTCCTCTGAGGACCCAGAGATCCGACTTCTTCACTTGGCACATCATCGGACTTCCTGGTTCCCCCTGCAGTAAAGGACAGAGGGTCTTAGGTTTGGGAAAACCTTTTTCAGTAGATCCTTGTGCCTGTGTCTGTTTTAGAAGGGTTAGCTTTGATTCTCTCTGGAAATGAGCAAATCATAGGCTACCATTTCAAATCTAGACAGCCACCATCAACTACAGTATGACGACATCACTCTCTCCTCTCTCTCCCCCTTGTTCTTGCTTGTTTGAGACTGGATCTCACGTAACCTCCTCACTACGTAGCTACAGATGACCTTGAACTCTGATCCCCATGACTCCACCTCCTCACTCTGGCATACGGGCCATGCTACCACAACTGGTTTTTAATGCAGGGCTGGCGATCAAGTCCCTGAAGCCAAGGTTTTATTCAAGGCAAGCACCCACCAGCTCAGCTCCTTCCCCAACCCAATTTTTCTTTATATTATGCAAATGATTTGTGGCCTTGGCACCCAGATTGCCTGTAGCTTCTTGGCTCATTTTTCACTGTCTTAGCTTTTGCTAATACTCCACATCTTTCCCTCAGTATTTCGGCTCAGAATGATCACACCTCTGAAACCTTTTCTTTTTCTTCCCAAGGAAGAGCTGAGTGGAGGGGAAGGAAGGCCAGAGTTCCCCCAGGAACTGGGGCTGTCCTGGGTCTACAGCTTCCTAACCCACCCCCCAGCTGCTAGTTACTCCTTCTTGCTCAGCAGCCCTGCCACGCTGTAGCTTTTCCCCTTTCCTGAAAGGGTAGTCCTCTGCGGCTCAGGCGGTCTGCCGCACACACCTTCTCACACGAGGCAAGAAGGCAGAGGCTTGGCACACTGAGCTGGATTTGTGACCAAGGCAGGTGGCCTGGTTCTGGTTCTCTAATCCAGTGTGGAGATTCACTAGTGCCTCTGACACACGCAGCACTGAAGCTGGGCATGTGCCATGCACTCAGTCAAGTGTTTGCTATGACCGTCGTGGGGGCTTATAAAGGCTGTAATTTTTCTGTAGGAAGTCGAGGGAATGGGGAAAGTCCCAAGAAAACTACCAGGTTTCATTTATCCCACCCCAGGCCCCCTCCTCGGCAAGTGCCAAACCTCCACTCGCCCCTCGTGGTCCATCTGAGTCTGAGCTAGGGGAAGAACTATTATTCACCCTCCTTGCTTGTAGGCCCCCTCGGCTGGAAGAGCCGGGCAAGCTGGCCAAAGATATGTTGCTCTTGCTGTTTGGACGGAGTGAGCAGTGAGCAGGGTGGCAACTGATAACAGCCAACAGTTTGAACAAACTCAAGGATGAGAAGCAGAGAGGCAAAGGTAGACCTTATCAGCTCCTGCTCATCTGCAGCCTGGGTAATGGCCTGCCTGGGGTGTCCCCCCCCTCCGCCCCCCATACTTCCCCTTGCTTAGGAAGTGTGGGCGGAGCAGAGGGGAGGGTGGCCGGCAGAAGAAGGGATGACTGAAAGCAGGGCAGAGCTGAGGCGCATACATTCTGCAGACACTGCCATGCCTGGGCAGCCTTGGCGAAGGCCAACGCCAGTTCAAGGGCACCACATTCTGCACATTGCTCTGTGTTGCTCACTCCAGGGAAGGGCAGCATAGCATCCTTGTATTTCCTCTTTCTCCTACTCTGCTCTGTCACCTCACTCTGCCCGTCGGCAGAGGCTTGAAATGGTATTTCAGAGTTGTGGCTAGTCACTTGGGATTGCTGAACGACCATTGTCCATAATACACTCAGGCTGCGTGGGCATGGAGCTCCCTGCTGAAGAATGGGGTGGTCTCCCCGCTTTCACTGCTCCCACCCCCAAGTTAATCATAATTGCGCACGAGGGAGAAAATGGATGAGATGTAGGACACACAGTTTGATGGCTCGGACACAGTAGTGGGTGCGAATGACCCTGGCTATCGCATGCTTTTGCTGCTAACCCCAGGCACAAAATGAGCTCAGTTTTTTTCTTCTGTCCCACCTAGTGGAGCCATGGTTTCTGGTCTCTGATGTTAAGCAGCAGAGGCCACCGGCCCAGGGCCCTTGAGGCACCTCTGTCTGACCTCCTGGGCTCAGGGGCAGCTACCACACAGAGGGCCCCCTTTCACTGAGCGGTCCTCTCCCTGACACTCCACAAAGGCTCGAAGGGTTGTACAAACTAACGTAAAGGGGAAGGGAAAGAGCAGCTCTGCTGCCTCCGTGGGGACCCATCAGTCAAATTCTGAAGCTGGAAGTTTCTCCTACACCTGAGAAGTGTGGTGTTCAGGATCCAGACGCCAGAACCCACTTCCAAGAGAGGAAAGCATTCCAAACACCAAAGTCACCAGAGATGTTTCGTGAGCAGAATTCAGTTCGAAAGTGAAGGGCTAGTGGATCGGGTGGCTCAGTGGATAAAGTACACACTGAACGAGAGTGAGGAAGAGAGGTTGGGTGCTGAGATTCCCTGAGGGCTCAGGAGGCTGGGTGGGGCACATGGGGGGGGGCTAGCCAGACTAGCTGTATCTAATGATCACACTGTAGGTTTTTTGAGAACTTTCTGCCAAGTGTTATTCCTACTAGAGATGCGAATCCCAAGGCACTGGCCCCCTTCCTTACCCGTTCAGAAAGGAGGAACCCCCAGGACTCCTCGGTGCAGCCAATGACTACTTTGATTTGGCTTCTACTGTATCAAGTTCTTACCAGGCAAACATTGGTGGATTCCTTATTTGTGTGACTGGCACATTCTGTTTTCTGGTCTCTAGGTAAAGGACACAGTTCAATGTCTTTCACGTAGATTCTCCTCAGGATACTCATTGTCATGTGATTTCCTGTCTGGACCATGCAACAGAGAGCCCAAGAATTACTAGCAAGAAGGCAGACCTGAGTCAGCCCAACAGCAACTCACCTATCCCAACAGGAATAAACAGAAAATGTTCCTCTACATCCCCTTTACCCATAGAAATCAGAACTTGTGTCTGAGTTTTTACTGAAAACTACCTTTGCTTTGAATTTAAATCTGTAAACAGGCAGAGAACAAAGCCACCCTCTCTTCACACTTGAAGAATGTGTATTTTCTTGTTCCATTCTCACCCAAGAATGACGGAAAATGGGTGGCTTGGGTAAGCGTACACAGCCCTGGTCCCCCTACTCCTCCCAGAACCTGGTGAGACAGGATGCTGCCTGTATACTCCTTGGGTATAGAGCTAAGAAAAAAAGGACCCGTGGAATATAGTACAAGAAAAGCCCCCAGAAAGGCAAACACTAGGAATCAGCTCTAAACCTCAGGCAGGCATCCTGAATGAATAAAACAGGCCCTAGAGAAGTTCATCTGAGTCACCCCCATTGCCAGCACACACACAGCCTCCTCTAGGGGAGGAGTGTATTAACTGCAGCCGTGGGATTCCATCCTGCCACCCAGCAGTTCTTCAAGGTTGGTGCTTTGTCTTGCTTTTTGTCCAGGAAGCAGATGGCCTGGACCATATCGTCGAAATGTATGGCAGATTCTGTCCTCAGGAGGGCTATGTTATTGCTCATGGATCTGTTATTAAAGTTCTCATGGAGGATGATCATATTGACTGGGTACTCTGTGTGATCCACCTTTCTGGGGTCCATGTTAGCTATACCGACAACAGCAATGATCTTCTTCCTAGAGAGGAGACAGCAGAGGACTTTTGAGAAGGCAAGGCAGCTAGGAAGCTTCACGCTTCCCTCATTTCTCATTTTCCATGTTTTCTTATTTTCAACCTGGCATGCCCATCCAACTCAGTCCCTAGGTATTTTGTCTTAGTTTTTAATGTGTGTGTGTGTGTGTGTGTGTGTGTGTGTGTGTGTGTGTGTGTGTGTGTGTACCAGAACATACTGGAGTCCTTGGGGTTGGAGTTACTAATGGTTGTGAGCTACTTGATATGGGTTCTGGGAACTAAACTTGGGCTCTCTAGAAGAGCAAGAAGTGCTCTAACTGCTGAGCCATCTCTCTGCCCCCTGGGTTAGTTTTTACTTTGAACTCAGTCTCCAGGGAATCTCTCCCGAATTTCTAGGTTTGTACTCTCCCTTGTGAGCTCAAGGCCTCTTGGGGATTCTTCTGTGCTGATACCATTTATCTTACCATGCAAAGAAAATCTGTTCACATGTTATTGGGTAATTTTTCTATAGGAATAGTTTTTTTTAAATATAGTAATAATACAAGATATGTAATCATGACTCTCACTCACTGTCTCAGCACTTAACATCTTTTTGCTTTGTTTTGTTTTTGTTTTTTGAGACAGGGTTTCTCTGTGTAACAGGCCTGGCTGTCCTGGAACTCGCTTTGTAGACTCTGCTGGTGTCGAATTCACCTCACATTCACAAAGATTTGCCTGCCTCTGCCTCCAGAGTGCTAAGATTAAAGGTGGGTGCCACCACCGCCCGGTCACTTAATGCAGATCTCGCCTCACATACTCCGTGACTGCATTTAGGGAGGGTGTGGCTTACCAGTGGTGGGGTTAAGCTGGGTATTCTCTACTTCTCCCCTGGGACTCACCAAGAAACTGTAAGAATGTAAAGCAGCCGGGCAGTGATGGCTCATGCCTTTAATCCCAGTCCTAAGGAGGCAGAGCAGGCAGATCTCTGTGAGTTCGAGGCCAGCCTGGTCTACAGAGTGAGATCCAGGACAGGCACCAAAACTACACAGAGAAACCCTGTCTCAGAAAACAAACAAACAAACCACAAAGAGGACTCAGCTTCTGAGCAAGGGTTGGCAAAACCAGCAAAAGCCAGCTGGGAGTGGCAGGTGACACCAGCTGCCACTGAGCTCAGCAGCAGCTGGGTGAGAAGGTTCTCAGCAAAAAGGTAGAAGAGAAAGAAAGCCATCCTGCAGCACTGAGGTGAAGGTCAAGTTAGAAACAGCATGAGGAGAATGGAAGACAACAAAGGACTTAGAGAGTCGCTGAGAACAGTGAGCAACGAGACGGAAGTCGGCCACGTTGTCCTGGGCGTCATCTGTTCTCATTTTCTTTTGTGTGTGTGTAGGGGTATGCGTGAGGTTGATGCATGTGTGTAGGGGTGTGCATGTGTG